CCCTTTGGAGGCGACTGGAGACAGAAGGAGGGAGGTGAAGGGGATGAGAGATGAAGCTGAATGCCCCTGCAATCCCATGGACCCTCTGCCCCCTCGAGCCCCCAGGAAGTTGGGCACAGTGCCTAGCACCACCAAGGCTTCCACACAGGGGGACCCTGGTGTTTGGGTCCAGGTGGGCATGGGAAGCCCCAGGGAGGGGGAGGTGGGTAGCACATGCCCACCCTGGGCTGGGCATGGTGCTCATCAGGTACCTCCAGGATGACGGCGCAGATCTGCCTCACACATTGGATGATGGTGTCCGGCACCCCTGAGACAGTGACAGCCCGTTCGGTGGAGTTGGGCAGCAGGTCACCAGCCACCTGCACCTGTGCCCCAGTGCTCTGAGGGGAGCAAAGGGAGATGCTGGTGTTCCTCAGACACTCCCTGCCAGGGCTCAGCACCTCACACCTCCTCTGTCCTCCTCCTGAGCCCCCAGGGTTCTTTCTAGAACCTGCAGGGTGATGCTCCCCTCCTGCAGCACCTTCCACAGTCTCAGCAGGACTGTGGCAGCCCCTGTGCTGAGGGCTCTGTGTCCCTTGGAGGAAAAGGGGAGATGGATTCAGGGCACCCTCAGCCTCACCTCCCGGATCTCTCGGATCTTGGCTCCTGCCTTGCCAATGAGGGAGCCGCACTGGCTGGCTGGGATGACGAGGCGCAGGGTCACCGGAGCTCTGCCTGCTGCCACCCCATTGCTCCCTGATCCCAGGTCCTGTAAGGCAGGGGGATGCAGTGTCGGACCCTCAGGATCCCACAGGTGTGGGGGCACCTGGTAGGGGTGTAGAGGGGCTGCCTACCTCCTCCAGCTTGAAGGCGATCATGGATACAGCACGGAAGACGGCGTCAGTGGAGCCAGTGATGGTGGTGATGCGCTCGGGGCAGGATCCTTCCGAGATGGTGATGCGTGCGCTGCTCTGGGGACAGTGTCACACCCTGTTAGGGATGTCACAAGCCCAGTGCTCCATGACTTCCCCCAGGGATAGTCTCATTGTGGGAGACCGATGCCTTCAAACCTGAGCTTTCCCCCTCCCACCTGCCCCAGGCGGCCTTCCCTGGGTTCCACCTGGGATTTGGGGGCCCAGGCATGTGGGAGCCACCAGGCACAGGCAGGACAGGCAGCAGGACCCAGCAGCCCCCTGGCATGCCCTTACCTGCTCTCGGATCCTCTTAACAGTCTCTCCTTTCTGCAGGGAGGGGAACAGGGCAGGTGGTCAGATCCAGGTGAGCCTGGGGCTGGCAGCACCCTGGACCCCAAAACTTACCTTGCCGATGATGCTGCCGATCTCCTGCAAAGACAGAGACAAGAGTGGCCCCATCAGCTGACAGCTCCCCACCTGCCACATACCTCCTCTGCCCACAGCCTGGCACACCAGCAGCAGGCAGGCCCTGCCCCCGGGCCACTGGGCCACTGGGTGGCTTAACTGGTGACACTGGGACACAGGGACAGGCCCCTCCCTGGCTTAGCATGGGGAAAGAAATCCTTCTGGGAATGCTGTTCACAGGGGGGATTAGGAGCAGAGAAGGAGAACAGGGCATGTTGAGGAGCTGGACCTCCAGCATGGCACCTCACCCCAGGCAGTGCTCAGGCCCCTGCCATTACCTTGCCATGCATCAGCATGCGGAGGGTCAGGGTGATGCTGAGCTCTGTCTCCTCAGGACTGCCACCCACACCGCTGGCTCCATCCGGTGATGCCATGGCGGGAGGGCGAGCTGAGCCTGTGGGACATGCTGGTCTTCAGAAACGGGGGATGCCCCAGCTAACATCCCCCCCAGAATCTACAGCTTGAAAATCCTGTGGTTTGGAAATGGGGAAACTGAGGCAGGGGCAGCACTGTGTCCTCCTCTGGCAGGAGCCTCACACGGCCCCATGGTACCCACAGGCACCCTGCACACCTGCTCAGTGCTCCCCAAAAGGCACTTGGTCCTGTGTGCCTGCCTGAGCTGCCTTCAGCCTGTCTTGCACACTGCCAGGAACTGGGTGGATAGAAGGGAAGGGGAAAGGTGTGGGAAAGTGGCTGTAGGATGGGGTTCAGTTTGCAGGCACTTGCTGGGATGCGAGTTACAGAGGTGGCCTGGATGGTCTTGCAGGCTGTAGGAGCCTTGCTCTTCCTCCTCCTCCTCCTCCCTGGGAAACTTCCAGGGGAAACTGAAGCAAGCTCCCTGATGGGGACCACCAGCCCGAGGGGAACACCGGCATGATGCACGATGCCGCTGCACCCTGTCCCCCCAGAGCACCCCGGGCTCCCCCCAGACCCTGTGCCTGGGGACTGGGGGCGGCCAAGGCCCCTGGGAGGAGGACAATTGCCGTGTGTCCAGGCCCGGGTGGGCGGCTG